GCCGGGGCGGGGCCCCGGCGGCGGGGGCCACCCGCCGTGCCTCGGCCTCCCCGCGCCGCAGCTTGCACCTCTCTGCCCTCGGGCCCTCTTGTCAGCACGCCGGCATTTCACTTCAACTCATGAGCTGGGAACTTTTATACCCCAATTTTTTTTCTTTTTTTTTTTTTTTCATTTGTTTGTAATAATCAAGTAAGATTTTGTTACATCCCATTCATATTCTGCCATTTATAATATTTATACATAATATTAACATACACATATATAAGAACTAGGATGCTCTTTATGGCCTCTATTTTCTGCTGTACTTAACAAAACCAAACAAATAAACCAAGCCCTCCCCCCCCAAAAAAAAAGAAAACCAATTGCTGGTGTTTCCAGTTTCCCAACAGAGCTGCAGGACCAAACCCCGAGCAACTGCTCTGGGCTGTGGCTCTGCTGCAACAAGGAATTGTGACCATTCTGCACCAGAGAGGCCCCCGTTACCTCTCCGTGTCAGTGTACTGGGGCAGGGAAAGCAAAACTCTGTAACAAAAGCTCGTCCAACAGCATAACCTAACTGATTGTCTGTATTTCAAGACAGGACAAACTTGGAGCCTAATGGATTCATTCCGTGGGTTTGTTTGCTGCACTTCACGAGTGAAAGCAAAACATTACAGCTATATGCATAACGCAAGAAAAATTGAACACCCTTCACACAGGCAGGAAAAAACCCACTAGTACAGTGTACCGTGTCATGCTCCCAGCTGTGCTAAGGACTGAAAATAAAAGGGAAGGCATAACTTCTGCATCAGTAGTATTGTCTGAAAAGCTACGGGTGGAAAACTAAACCAAACGAAACCAAACCCAAAACCCAACCCCAACCCCAACCCCCTTCACGCTTTGGTCAGTGCAAGAGTCCCGGGGGTTTTCAGTGGCAGAGAGTGAGGAAGCAGTTGCAGGGACCAGGACAACAGGGGACTCTGAACTCTGGGCAAAAAGCACTCCCGTGTGAATTGCAGCATGGTGATGGTCCTGCAGCTATCCTGGCTCAGCCTTCCATAAAAGAAATGCTTGGGTTTATGCTGGCTCAAAAAAACCCCCAAACAAAACCAAAACAACAAAAAACTAACACCCCCCCCCGCCCCTGTCAATCGCAAAGGGACATCAAAAGGCCATTGGGAGCCTTACTCAAAGGTTTCCCATCGCTTTCTGAGCTGTTCAACCTTACCTGGTGTGGACGACACGTCTTCCTTTGTCTTTTTTAACAAATCTTCAAATGGATCTTTTGTCTCCTCAGATTTTGAGGATTGTAACACTGACTCTAAGCCCTTAGCTGGCCTGGCAGGGATCAAAGGGGGTTCATTAGACAGGAGAGCTAGCGCTTGTTTGGGATCTACCTTTGAGCTGGACTGGCCCACCTGTAACGTTCTGGTTTTAGAAGGACCACTTAAACACGCTGGCTGTAGAGAGCTACTCGGAGAAGGGCTGTGGCTCCGCAGCAGGAAGGAGCTAGCTGGTGGCACAGCTGGAGCCTGGCTAAACAAGTTTGGCATGGATAGTGTTGAAATGTTTGGTTGAGGTCTTTGTGGTGGGTAGAAGCTAGAATTGGGCGTTATGAAGCTAGAGCTGTAAGCGTGACCTAAAGAGGGGGTGAAAGAGCCCCTTGGGGGTCTAACCAGAGACACTGAAAGAGCGCCCGGCACTGTCTGCGTAAATGGATTCGGAGATGGCTGTAAAAAAGGTGGTGGTGTTGGGGAAGGATAACCAAGTGGCTGGACAAATGGTGCAGCTGGAGGAGGCACAAAGTCACTTGCCACCGAGACAAAGCCAGCTGCAGAAGGTGGAGTGGCTGAGCCTTGCAGGCTGCGGGGACCTTGCTGCGGGCCACTGCTTTGCCAGCTGGCAGTTTTTAATGGGTCCAGGAGATTAAGAAGGTAGTCGCTTTCATTACCTGTATTTTCTGTCTTCACCTTGACAGGCTGGAGCATCTCAGCAGTGGTGGTAGCACTGGAGAAAAGCTGAGATGGATGAGAGGAATAATTTACAGGCTGCTGGATTTCAGAGTCTAAGGACGCACTACCAACTCCAAAGGGCTCTGGGATAAGATCTGAAACCAAATGGCTACGTCCTGTAGCGTGGGTGGTGAGAATTTCTTTTGGCCCAGACGGAGTCTGATGCTTGGAAGCCCTGGGTGCTGGTGGTGGTGGCACTATCCCCAGTTCAGGAGTCTTTCTTCCTTGTGGCCTAGGAATGGTGATGTTCCCTTGAACGGCAGGATTTAATTCATCCTTTTCTGCAGGAGCCAGAATGCTGTCTCTGCTCCGGGGTCTCCTTGTGACTGGTGGCATGTTACCAAGTGCAGTCAAGGGCCTTTCCGGTGAGCTTTGGGAATACTTGGTAGGAATAGCCATATCGTCATGACCCATGCTCCACAGCTTGTTGTAAGGGTGAGAGAGCTTCATGGTTGGCACAATCCTGTTCCTCTCCGACACACCAAGATCCATTCTCTGCAAGAAAGCGTAAAAAAATTAAAAGCTAACTTTTACTGATCTCCTCACAACATAGAGCATAAAGTCAAGACAGGCTGCTGAGCTACGAGTGGAAGAGGATCTGTCCACCCACTGCGAACACTGGAGAGGGACAACAGCATGCAGCCTGGGAGGACAGACACGAAATCAGGAGCAGGACTCTGTGGTTCTAATTTCAGTTCTGCCTCTCATGAGTTGCTCAGCTGTGACATATTGTGGCATCTGTTGTTAGCCAAGTAAGAAGTGCGTACCTGTATCGAAGGTACAGAAATTGAAAAGCCTTAATTGCTGTATGGAAAAAGCTGTCAAATGAAATATCTGGATATAACACTAAATTAAATATTATTATAAGGTAGAAATGACATTCTTTTCTTTCATGTCATATGAACATCTCAGAGTCTGCTTTAGTTTGGCACTTTCTAAGCTGCATATATTCAGTGAAGTTCCTTATAAAGAATCTCTCTTCTACAATACAGATTGTTGAAACAATGCCTAGACCAAAACGGTCAGATTCAAAGAAGGTCATTTAAAACCATGCAGTTCGGTGGGGCCCTGAAAATTCCCAGGTATTCATTCTCACTGCTGAGCATCAGCTTCAAAGACAACTGTGTGGGATAGCCAATGGACAAAAGAGATTATGAGGAACAGGGCAAATATTTCCTCCTTTAGAAGCAAGGGCTGTGGTTTTAGTGGAAGAAGTTACTGTCCCATTCCAGTAATTTCTTAATTCAGAAATGAATTTTGAGACACATGAACAAATGCCTGGAAAATCTACCCAATAATACAAAAATGTTCCTCAGAGAATAATGGAAGACAGCCAGCCTTAGTTCTGTGCAAAACCCCAGCGCACGTGAAACCCTGTCCAAACCTGGTAATCAAACGTGCATCGCTGATCTCCCTCTTCTTTGGGAGTCCGCAGGTCTTCTAGGCTCTTAGCTTGGCTGAGAAGCTGAGGCTGTGTTTCTACTTCTAAGTTAGGGAAAATGTCTTCAAGGAGGTTGATTTCTGTGGCCTTGCTGGAGAGCAGAGGGCTTGGAGGCAGAGGCTCTTTTGATTTTTCTGGACTGATCGCCTCTTCCCCATCAGCACTATCGGATTCTTTCAGGGCCCGGTATGGCTGAGGCCTAGGAGAGAAACAAAAATCATGTCACAAATGACCATCTTTCTAATTTTTTTTTTTTTTTACAAGGAGCTGGATGGCTTTACAAAAAACTTTTGGGTGGCAAAATACAGCTTACAGCGCCTCGTGAACGGCAGGTGTGTGAGCAAAGTGACCAAGGGCAGAAGGACGTACAAAGATGACTTGGCAGTACTCAAGGGTTTTCAGAAAGGAAGAAGACGTAAGTGGGAAGTACTCAGAGGAAAGCTGTGATCATGCAGTTACAGACAGGCTGATGAGGGCAGTCTCTCGGAGCAGGAATAACTAGAGGCGAGCTCTCCATTTTGGCAGTCTGGCCCTGCTGCTGCGCTCAGTCCTTTCACACAAGGAGCCAGAGCAAGTGCCCTGCAAAGTGCCCCGTGTTTCGCAGGCACTTACATCCTCTTGCTTCCAGCGGACTCAGCACAGAACATAATTCAGTGTTTTCCTGCAGTAATTGGGAACACCGTGCAGAGTTCCAATGATTACATTGGTGTCATCTTATCAAGAAACACCACAATCCATTATGGAGACACCTATTTTACATTTACAGCCAAGCCCGAGTTAGCGGGATGCATTTCTTGCACATACCTCAGCAAAAAAATGAACACCAGCAGATTTGCATATTGGTTCTGTGTACAGAGAACAGCAGCATAATGTGCATCCAATTAATAACAAGAAGTGCCATACATATCTGTGGGGATTGGCATTTGACTGGCAGCCAGTTTTACTGTGGCATTTAAACAAGGTTTTAATTAAAAGAAAATATTTGTGAGACCTGCAAAAACACAGTATGGAAGAACCCTCCTCCTCTTTCCATATCCTGTTATACTACATCTATACCATGCAAATTTGTAAACAGCCCATCTTACTTCATTCATCAACACATAAATAGCAGGCATTCAGCTGGCAACACAAGAATGTAATAATGCAAGTACAAGACAGACAGCTGATGGTACATGTCCTTAGAAGAGGGTGAGCTTGCAAATCTCGCTCATATCTTTAGTCTTTCACATAATATCTGCTCATCTGCTAAGCATTAGATCACACTGCAAAAAGCCCCCCAAGGAGTATTCTGCAAACCAACCCTTGTACCAGCCTGGCCTCCTCCACCCCAAACACAAGAGAGTGGGAACGTTTTTCTGGCCCCTTGCTGCTGAGCCTGTACGTCTGTCTCCCCATGCCCAACCGCCTGCAGTCACGTCCCTTCCCTGTCGGTCCCTGAACCTGCCCTTCCGCATCACACAATGAATTTTAGCAACTGGAGACTCCACTATCAAACTGGCAGCCTCCTTCTCCAGCCTAGTCTAACACAACTGCATCTGGCAGCTCCAGTTGCTCAGATGCGACTGGGCATCCATCCCCCAGCGCCCGGAGCTGGCATCACACAGATTTCTGAAGCTCACAGTGCCCTGGTACCTCTTCCTACAGTTTCTGGTCAAGGCAGTAACTGTATTTGTGAAAAGAATGAGTGTAATTCTGTGCAATTTATCTCCCTTTCTCCCCCTAGAAATCCTCAAGCAGGTGAGGCTTGGAAAGAACAAATCCTCCGGATGACATTCAGTGAGGCCTTGGCTCAAGACAGCCCTCCGGGGCTGGTGTCTTCAAGCACTCAGTACGAGGTATTTAGTACAGCTGAATCCATGAGCACCCTGCACGGGACAGCGTTCCTCTCAGACACCTCAAACATACGCTCGGGCCCCTGGCAAGACTGGCCAGGTGAAGGGGAGCTGGCAGGCAACGCTCGTTCCCCTGCCGCGGGTGCCTTGGGCAGGTGGCAGCATCCTGCAGCCAACGCTTAACCGTACAGTTCTCGCAGACGGGTACTTGCGGTATGGCCAAGCTGCTCAGCACCGTGTTTCAAAACTAGGCAAGACTAAGTTACAGAGGTTTGGGAATCTACAACAACTTACAAATTAAAAAGTTGGATACAAATAACACGGTGAGTGAACCCAACAAACCGCTTCTTGTTTCTTGTATAATTTTACGTCAGATTGCACTCAAAACCCCCGGAGGACATCTGCGTGGCGACTCCCCATAGTCACTGCGCACGTGGCACTCAACAGAACAGAGAGGCTGGGACCAAGCAAGCGACACTACAAAAAGCCGGTAACGGCACTGAAATAAGGCTCACAAGACAATCCAACAAGCACACCTAGCACTGCACAAGGAAGAACGGCAGAAGGTTTGGACGGGAACACAAGCAGCACATTGGAACAAAGGGCAAGTGGAAGGGTTACATCCCACAGAGCTCGAGTCGATGTAAAACCATTGCTGCACAGTGTTTCATGCAGGAGTATGCTTTTGCATGCAGCTAAATATCAAAACAAACAAGCAGGAGCAATGCTGAACATTCATCAAGTGCCATACAGAGACTGCAAGAGCACTGCCAAAATCCCAAGTACAGGAGCAGGCACCCTGACCAATGCAAAAACCATCGTTCGAAGACCAATCTAATACAATGAAAGAAGAAAGGATAGACCATTCAAAAGGAGCAGAGAAGAAAAAGTTTTCAGAGAAGCCAGAGACAGGATCCTCTTCCTGATCATCAGAAGAGTCCTCAGAGAGGAAGACTGTATAGTGTCGCATAGGCTTTACGAGGCTGAGGGAACAGGAAGAGAAAAGGAAGTTATCAAGTTGTCACATTCAAAGCTCCAGAGGAGAGAGAAACCAAGTGATTCGTAGGCTCTAAATCATTTCTGTACGTGACTGACTGCACCGCAAAGAGCTCTGCAGGTAAACGCTGAGCTCTACTTTTCAGGCACAAAACACAACTCTTCTAAAAATGCCTGGGGTGCCATCTGATCGGGAAGGGTGCTAAGATGTGCAATCACACCCGTATGGCAAAAAAAGCCAAGACAGAAACTCACCTTTTCCCCACTACGTTTTCTAGAGAGAGATGGGTATCTTTTTGTCCTTTAGAAATCCATTTTTGTTCCTCAGATTCTCCGAGCTCTGACTACAAGCGAACAAATATTAGATCTACCTCTCTGCTTTACAGATACTTAGACTGACATTAGTCTGATATATGAGAGGAGCTGACTTCAGGGTAACAGTATCTCCTTGTATCTATTTTTGAGATCTGAAATTGCTTCACATTAGAATAAAACCAAAACTGTCCAAGGTTTTATATGAAATGCAGTTTGTCAAGTAAGATGTATATGTTTCTTTCCTCAATGGTTAACTACTTTCAAAGTCTGGCAGAAATGGGACTCCAGCTAATTTCTCCTGCATCACAGGATGGTAACTACCAACCTGTGAATTTGTTAGCAGCGGCCTGGAACAAAAAACCTTTCAGATGAAAACTTCTTAAAATCAGAAGTGCCTCTGGAAACACGCTTTAGCTGTAACTAAACAAACTCCAAACCAACAGAAAAACCCAACCACCACCAAAAACATTTCACCAGACTTTTAACAAGAACGTTACTAGTCATCTTTATTTTATACACAGAGGTCAGACCTCCAGGATTTGCTCTTGTACCTAATGAAGACAATGCCCAAGTTTTTAGTGAATGTAAAACTAACTGTGCATGCCTATATAGGTCTGGGTAAACATACACTGGTTGGGGGATAAAAGAAAAATATTTAAAGTTTGCTGAATTTATGATTTGTTTTTTTCCTATTATTTACTGTAGCTATCCGTGGCTTCACTTCATTTTTAACCTAAAACCCAGCAAATTACTCTTTTCTGCATAGAGGAGAGGCTTCTAAGATTCCCTGTTTCCCTTGGAGCAAATTCAGAAGTGGCTATCACTACTTTAAACAACTAAATGCACTATCAGCTTTAGTATAAGAGGCAAGAGTACAGGAGCGGGGTACTTAAGCAGAAATATACTGGAAAAAGAGGTTGAAGAGTATGAAGAAATTAATAGCAAATATTGCCTCATTTGTAATGCTAAAAGATCCTAATGTTTAGTGAAGTATGAAGCAAGGTCCACTGTTCATTCCCTTCTGAAACACTGAGGCTCTGGATGGCAAAAGAGCTTACAGAAAATATATTCTCACAAATTAAGACAAATGCTTCACAAGTAACTGAAAGCAGTAAAGGCACATCAAGATTTACCAGTACTAATCAGAGGCCTCTACACCATAGCCCAGTGCTTTTCAGTCTACTAAAAATCAAGGACAATATTGTGTAGAGCCACCAAAACTATATGCACTTATAATAAAACATATACTAAATGTTTAACAGTTATTTATTCTCCCCATTTCAGTTGTGTTCTGGCATATTTAAGTGTGCATGAGTGGAAATGAAAAAAAAAACAACCAAGAAAAAAACCCTCTTTTCAACGGCATTATAAACCACCTTTGTATGTCTTATGGACCGAACAACAGGCTGAACAACACTGATGGATGTTGCCAGACACCATCATTTACAGGTCTCATTTTTCTTCCCCACATCACTAGAACAATGGAAAAATAATCACTAGGATCATAAAGCAAACATTGTTTATAGCTGTCCAAATGAAGTCTCTGCCAAAACATCTTCATTTTATAAACCACATATCACTGATAATATCCTAGTTATTGTAGTGAATCAAAATATACATTGTGAATGACACAAAGCAATACACAATTGGGATGGGTGCCTAATTTTGCTACTACTGAGGTCCAGAACAAAATTTGTTATTTCAGTGTAAGCAGAATCAGGCTCATCATGTGGAACAAAGGATAGGTCCCGAACCTGTAGACATCGTAGAGCAATGCAGATGTATCGCATCACTACGTACGTTACAGATAAGACGAGGACATGCTGAAATCAGAACAGGACCAAAAGCATGGATAGAAAAGAGAAAGAATTTGATTTGTTGCCTCTATCGTACAGGCATACTAACAAACTGCCTCTAGTGGCACTTGAATTCATAATCAGCCTTCACTCTCTTAGGTCTTTTGTCTCAATCACTAAGTAACTATATAATAAAGTTATGAAAATCAGTCTAAAAGATTAGGTCAGAAAAAGAAAAGGTGGACAATGCAAGTGACAGC